CTCAGCACTGCACACATGGTAAGCAAATGCTCTACCACGAGCCATATCCTGGGCCTTTCAGCCCTCTTGTATTTGATACTCTGGTGCCTCTGGCTGCAGCGGGTGCTCATTCCTCCCTCATTTCTCTCACTCCTGGGCCCCTCCCCTCCCCTCCCCTCCCCTCACAGTTTGACCTCAATTCCTGGGGTGTGGGGGTTTTCCCTGCAGGCTTGGGTTGTGTGTTATCGGGTAGGAGGAGTGGATTGAAAAAGAGGCCAAAAGGTGCTCAAGGGAATATGGAATAGGTATGATTTCTCTCCAGCATTCCAGGGAGCCCGCATGGCGAAGACGGCCTTGGAACCAGACTGACCGCTCTTTCATTCTGTTTTCTGATCTGTAAAATGTAGATAATGATTGCTCCTTTTCTCATCTGTAAAATGTAGATAATGATTGCTCTGTAAAATGTAGAGGGAGTGTGTTTCACATGATGCCTAGTACCCTCGTCATGGGGGCCACAAAGTAAGATTCATTTTCATTTCTTTTTTTCCGTAGAGAATCCGTGGTTGTTTATAACAAAAGCTGTGCTTATCCCTGTTGGCTCCATGGGATTGATTATTAGCCTCTTCTTTGTGTATTGCTGGCTAGAACGGTGAGATTTCAGAAAGCTCAAAAAAATGAAGTGTGCTGGTTGGGAGGAGTGAAGGAAGATTATTTCAGGGTCTCCAGGGCTTGAGGGCAAGACACTAAGGAATGAGGGATCATCCAAGAAGGTATGGTGATGGGAGGGAGCTGCAGGCACACAAAAAAGCACAGAATCCCCCGAGCTTTAACTTAGGTGGTCCTGTTCCCTTTCTCCCATCAGGACAATGCCTCGAATTCCCACCCTCAAGAACCTAGAGGATCTGGTCACTGAATACCATGGGAACTTTTCGGTGAGAATGCTATTAAACATATTGCAGTCTGTCAGTTGCCAACTGCTGGCCAGCAAGATGGATGTTGGTAGGGGAGGGGGTCAGGGTAGAGGGAGAGGGGGTCGGCACTGTCGGGATGTGGCCAACCAAATGGGGGATGGACTGCAGAGAGACGCACAGAAGAATCCATTATAGGTTGCGGGAGACAGATGCAAATGGTGGTATTGAGGGCCCAGGAATCTGGGTGTCCTATCTGTAATCACAGTGGTTGCAGATATCTTGAGAGCTTCTCTGGCACACAGCTTGTGTTTTTCGCTTCCTGCCCCTAACTGACCTTTGACCAGGGGATATCTGTCTTTAGGCCTGGAGTGGTGTGTCTAAGGGACTGGCCGAGAGTCTGCAGCCAGACTACAGTGAACGGCTCTGCCACGTCAGTGAGATTCCCCCAAAAGGAGAGGCCCAAGGGAGGGGCCTGGGGGCTCCTCCTGCAACCAGCCCTACAGGGCTTCCCCATGTTACACCCTGAAGTCCAAAACCTGAGCCCCAGTTCCCTGACAGAAGCCCAGCATCCTATAGCCCTCGGTGTTGCTAACACCCTCTCATCCACCCTTCTGATAAAATGCCCAATGCGCATTCCATCCCCTGTGGCTAATTTTGGATTTGGTGCCCCATGTAATTGCCCCTTCGCTCAATATCCCCTATTTGAGAAATGCCCCTTTGCCCTGTACATGTTTCTTATCTCCCCGAGGCTGGCCCTTCCTGTTTACAGGATTCTTTCTCCCTGTTTCAATGAGAAATAAAGTTTCTGTTCACAATCATCAAGAATGTCTGTCGTGGAGGTGGGGAGCAGGGGCAATACGGGGTGCAAGGAGGGTGGGAGTCATGGTGCAAGGGGAGGAAAAAGAAGTAGAGTTATGTTGTGGAAGTGATAGTACTGCAAATGAACTAAAAAGGAGTATTCTGGAAACTTTTCTTCAGTAAGTTTCTGCAATCATTCCAGGTCCAGTTCAGTTTTGCATTTAACCTCCCCCTCCATGCCATACCCAACAAATCTTTTACAGACCCCACCCAAATTCTCTCTTTAGCCTTACTCCACCTTCTGCTACAAATACCCCTTCTGACCTCACAATCCCTCACCTGGGCCTCAGGCCCCACCCCAGAGATGCTGGTTATCCACAACTGCCAAAAGCTTTCTCTTCTCTGCCCAGTGTGGGTTTTCTCGGCTTGTGAGGTCCAGTTGCCCCTCTAGTCTCTCAACCCACGGGCCCACCTGGCCTCCCCGCCAGGTCCTCTAGAACATCCTCCTCCCACAAAACTCGACAGGGGCCTCTCCGAAGAGTGAGATGATCTTGAGAGTATGTTTGTCTTCATCAAACATGGAGGTGAGGGGCAGCACAGAGCTGAAGGTCTGGGAATGGGTGTGGGGAGGCTTGAGGGCAATGTCGATCACAGAGATGGTGTAAGTATAGAAGGGCCCATATACCCCATCCTATATCTCTTCTCAGATAACCAGCAGTTTCTGCTTAATATCAATTGCTCTGTCCTCCTGTTGATGCATTACACCCGCGCTAAAGTGGGCTTGCGTAAACGAGGTGAGGAGTTTGGGGAGGGGATTAATGGACAAGATCAGAAGCAGTAGAGTTATATTTAGTTGGTAAACCCTCCTCTTGACAAGAAGAGAGTTACTCTAACCCCTGAAGCTTCCTCCAACCCCGTCTGGAGGATCCCTGGTCCCTTTTGCTCTCGTTGTCTGTCCTCAGCTGCCCCAATTATCCTGTGGCTTTCCTCCAGACATCATCGATTTGTGTGATGAAGCGGGGATACTGAAGATGTTTTTCATGCTGAAGACCCCTGGAGAATATGCCAGCAAATTCCTTACAGCTCGAAACACCTACTACGTCTGTAAGGTGGAACGTGGGGCACCAGGTAGAGGTTTGAGAGTGTTCCCTAGAGATACAGCAAGGACCTGAAGATGGATAATGAACTTTATCCTTAAAATAGAACACCTTTCACCAGATCCAAATTGACCATTTTTAAGAAGGCTAAGACAGGCCACTGCCTCTGTGACAGTAAGTTAGGTGCATGCTCTCCGCTTCTTAGTGTCTGAAACTCCCCCTGAAGTCCATACCTAAGGGGAAGAAATAAGGCAAAGCAATTCAAAGCAGTGTTTAGTGTTAGAGTCCTGAAATCTCGCACTCCATAAGGGTGCAGACCAGGTGACAGGGGCTGGGGATATTGCACTGTTATGTTCACAGGAACCAGGATTGAGAATTCCTACAGAGCTATTGTGCCCCTCCTGAAGAATCCAGAACCCGAAGTGCTTGGTAAGGAGTATGATGGGAGAGGAAAAGAATGTGGAGAGTGTGCTAGGGAGCTGTATGATGGCAAATGTATGGTGAGACTAGCGTACCATGATAGGTGGGATCATAGAAGCCTAGAGAAAGGGGGACAGGGTGCAGCTCCACTTCAGGAGGGATGTTTAATTAAATCCAGGTAGAGTGTGCATGTGCCCCCCCATTTCTCCACTATCCTCTCTGTGTATCTCTCCCTATTACCACCCTATCATTTTAACATCTCAGGCCAGGTTACTCCAGATGATCATCTGGATGGTGGGAGGGTCAGTATGGGTAAGGTCTCAAGGCCTAGGAGGTGCAGGTGTCTTTTTCTGGTTCCTAGATGCGCTGCGTACACAGTGTGAGATCTTAGAGAGGAACCGAGTGAAGACGCTTAAAATCATAGAAGCCAAGCGGGTCACTACAATTGAGTCTACTGTGAACCTCCCAGTAAGAGTATTTAAGCGCAGTTTGTTCTCTTTCTACCAGCAAACTGGATATTCCCCCCTTCTGCTTAAGGAATTGAATTTCCTTTTCGAATCCGTGTCCCCTTTTCTCCTTTCATTACCTTCCCTGAAGAGGCTCGTCCTTCATCTCCTTACTTTGCCTTTCTAGTCCAAATCGGGAAGATCGGATGATCACGGGCCCCCTCCCGCTCCTCGAAAGGGCCTGCACTTTAAGACCAGAGTAGATTTTCACGGTCGGAGAGGACATCGATGACTCAATAAAGCAACCAAATGAGAACAGTACTCTGGGTATGAAACTCCTAGAATTTAAAGTGTTCCTTTTCCTTTTTTTTCCTTCGGGCACTGGGGATTGAGCCCGTGGGTGGTCTACCACTGAGCTACATCCGCAGCCCTATTTGAGACAGGGTTTTGCTAAATTGCCCAGGGACTGGAATTTGTGATCCTCCTGCCTCAGCTTCCCGAGTAGCTGGGGTTACAGGCGGGCGCCATAGTGGATCAGGTTCATGAAGGTCTTTTTCGGAGAAAGACTCCTCCCTACCACCGGCACTAAGGCTTCAGTAGGCCCCAGGCACTGGGGAAGCTGGACCGGAGTGGAAGGAGAGGGCTAGTGAGCACAAGGGTGAGGGGAGGAAAGGCTGAATGAGGTCTAGTACAGGAGTCTTTGAGGGATGGAGAAGGGGGCGGAGTCTTCTCAAACCAGCCTAGCTCGCCTTGGGAGGCCGACCTCTCCACTCTGGCTCCGGTTAGGTGTCCCTCCCCCACACCCTCCACTACCTCCCAGGCTGAAATTCTCCACCCCCACCTCTCTGCCTGGGGCAGTCCTTCCCACCCGACCTTGATTTAACTACCCTTTCCCTCGTCGGAGGGGAGCAGCAAGGCAGCAGAAACCTGAGCTGGTTATAGGCATTTATTGAATTTATTCGTTTATTGATTTGACACACTTCCCCACTCAAATCTAGCACATGATACAATCTGGGTAGGCCAAGCGCTGACACAGGAAACGATGGGATCCCACAGCAGGGGCGGGGGAGGGGACAGTGCAAAGGTCACTGAGGGAGGGGCTGCTTTGGGGGCTGGGGTGGAGAAAGAACCCCAGATGGCCTCCCTAGCAGGTGCTAGTAAACCTGATCCACATTCCCCCATCTCTGCTCATTTCCCAGACCCTCAGTCAGGCTTCCCAGCTTCTCCCTCCCCCACTTCCACATAGCCCCTGTAGTCAGGGAAGGAAAAGAAAAGCAGGGACAGCTGGCAGGGGCCTGGTACAGGGAAGTCTCTGTACCTAACTTTACCATTCTAAATCCTTTCCTCCTCTTCTCCTCTCTCCTGCCCCTTCCCAGGCCCTGAGCTAATTTCAGGCCTTCAACACACTCTCCCCCAGTAGTAGGAACCCACAATGGGTCATACAAGAGGGTGGCCACCAACACCACACCCTCCTAGGTATAAGTCAGTGATGGTGAACCTTTTAGAGCTTTCAATGAAACAAACAGTCCGCCGCAGCACCCAGGCCATAGGTTCGCCACCACTGGTATAAGCTGACCATAGGAGGGCACTTGGCTTAAGTTTTTCCTTAGGGCAACTCTAACTTAGTTATGCATGGACCTTTTTCTAGACCTGGTCCAAATGGAAGCTCTCGTTTGCTATTGCTCCCCTCCTCACCCCTACTTCCCGTGTCTCCTCTACTACTGTCTGTAGTGTTTGTATCATGTCATTATGACAAAGCCTTCAGAAAGAAAAAAGCGTTCTCGCCATCACTAGCACCTTGCCACTATTAAAAATCTCTATATTTGTGTTTATATTTCTTTAAAAGTTTATAAAAAGCCTTTCTGTTATCTGCAGCCTTCCAAAGGTGACTGGTCTGGTGAGCCACTCCAGTGCTCAGACCTTTGGCTCTTTAAGGTCCCCTATCCCACCCACCCACCCCACACCACTGGTCTAAGGGGCCACTGCATAAAAATCCCAGGCTCAATTTAGCCTGGCCCAGCTCAGATAAGACTCTCTACAAAAAGCCCTGCTCCCAAAGGCAGGGGTAAGGCCACTGGTGACTTCACATTTCCAACAGCACTGCTGGCCCCCGCTTCCAGGGATGGGAATGGGGGAAGCTGAGGATGGCCCCTGAAAAAGGGCCTTACCTCCTAATTGGCACAGTGAGAATAACCCCCCCTCGACCCCATATGGGGCAGCTTTATCTTCACAATCCTCAATACCCGTTTGTGTGACTAGACCCCACTCTAGCTCGGAGGCAGGGTCCCAAATTCCTGGGGAGGGCTCAAGGGAAAAGAGTGGATATGAATGCGTCTGGCTCCATCTCTGAAGCAGGGGACAAATCTTCCAGCCACGACTCAGGGATCTGTGGGAAGAGGAAACAGAGGACAAAGTAAGAGATTCATCTGGGGGCGGGCCAGCTGCCCACCGTCCAGATTCATGCCCCGGAGAACAGACACCCTCTCCCTACACACATACCCCTTCTCTGCTGCCTTGTGGGGTTAGGGTACTGCTGACGGGCCTGAGGTCCCATTTGGAAACTGTCACTATAACATGACATCTCCCCAGTTCCCCAGAAGCTCTAACTACCCCTTTTCTAAATCTCTCCCTGGCTCAGGGGACATCCAGGAGTAGACATAGGTTCTCAGATGCTGAGGTGATTCTAGGGTGCCATACCTGGCTCAAAGTTGAAGTCCAGTCCCTCACCCCCATCCATGAGGTCACTGATGATGTTATCCATGTCACACTCCAGGTTCTCCATGTACATATCAAGATCTAGATCCTGAGGCATCCTGTCGTGGCTTGCTGCTTCAGTAGAAGGGGTGGGCGCAGGAGTTCCCGGGGCCTTGGGGATGGGAGCACCTGCCATGACTGGAGGCGGTACCATTACAGGAAGGCTGGGAACCAGACTGCTGGGCCCTGGAGCTTCTAGGGGCTTGGAACACAGGCCCACTCCTGTGGGCAGCTTACTGGAGGAAGGTATCCCCCCCAGCAACAGAAGTGTAGGAGCCTGGGACAGAATAGGATCTACCTGGGTCATGAGGACATCGGCAGGGGGTGGTGGTGTATCAGAAGTGAGCAGGGCCTCCAGAGACTGGGAGCTTGAGAAGCACCCTTCTCCTGCTGCCAGGGGCCCTTCTGCTGCGCTGAAGAGGGAGGTGCTGTAGGCGTGTAAGGGGCCAGTAACCCCAGCATGCTGCAGAGAGAAGCCCGAGAGACTGCTCCGGGACAGCAGCGAGTGGGGAGATGTGAGATTGAGCCCATCTAACAGCTCTAGATCTTCATTTAGCGGGGGGACACCCCCTGCGTAGCTGCTGACTGAGGCTGGTATTTCCTCCTCTGCCAGCACCTCAGATTCCGGTCTCATGGGGGACAGCCGGGTGCTGACAGTGCTAGCATTTGAACTGCTTCGTGGACGGAAGGTGGTCCACACATCGGCTTCTTCACGGCTTCGAGAACAAGGGCTGCCTGACCACTTGGCGAAGTGGCCGATAGGGCTTGTGGGAGTGGCACCTTCAGGTGGAGCCGGCAGCACAGATGGTTTCTTCTTGGGGGCCTTGCTGCGGCCCCGGAGCAGCTTGCTGGTGTTATCCATGGAGGCAGCCCTGCGGCGGGGTGCCTTGCCGCTCTTGCCTCCCTCAGGGTTCAGCATCCACCAAGAGCTCTTGCCGGTGGCCTCGTTGTGAACCTTGATGAACTTGCTGTGCAAGGACAGGTTGTGGCGGATTGAGTTCTGGAGGGGGCAGAGAAAGCAGGAAAGAGGCATGAGGTGTGGGGAGGGGGCGGCTGGTGGCCAGCAGGTTAGCTGCCTAAGGGGGAGGGTGGGACACAGCAGGGGTGCACCTGTACACTCAAAGTCAGATCAGGGGGAAAACTAGCAGAGGGGAGAGGCGAGGGCTGAAGAGGGGGAGAGGAGCAGACCATGCAGCTCCCCTTCTAGGACAAGTGGCTCAGACTCTGCTCCTGACTTCTGCACAGGGGTACCCAAGGTAAAGTAACAACCCACTACAGAGGGCAGAGTGCCCACCTGGGGAAAGCCCCTCCCACATGCCTAGGGAGTATCTAGGGCTAGTGACCCAGCAAGAACTAAAGTTGAGATGGGAAAAAGCATTCCGTAACTCCACCCCTATTCTTTCTTTCTTTTTTTTTCGGGACAAGAGTCTCGCGCGTTATGTGGCCCAGGCTGGCCTTGAGCTCACTCTGTAGCCCAGACTGGTCTCAAACTTGCAGCGATCCTCCTACCTCAGCCTCGGAGGTGCTGGGATTACAGGTGTGTGCCACTATGCCTGGCCTCCACCCCTTTTCTGCACAGCAGGCTAGGTGGAGATATAGGACAGTGGTCATACACCCCTGACCTAGGCCAGTTCTCTGAAGAGGCTGAGGGGCTGGAACCTCAACGCAGCAGGTGCTCCTTTCCCCACTAAGCATTTGGGCCACCAGCTCTCCATAGGATCGGAAGATTCCTTCCCCTTGCTGAAATTCAGCTTTATTTTGACATACACATTTCACCACATTTATGAGGCACAATCTATCCCTCCCTCTTTTTTCCGAGGAAGGATCTCCTCTCCAAATTCTCCTAGTTCTTTAAGACCAAGTTTAAGTACTGCCTCTTTTTTATAACGCAGCCAGATTTTTTGCACAGTATTTTTAGTCTGTCCCACACAATTGTAATCAATCTACGTATATTTCATGGTTTACGGTTTCATATAATTAGACTCATCAAGTGTATTTTTTTTTTTTGGTCTTTTTTGAGACAGGGTCTCGCTATGCAGTTCAGGCTGGCCTTGAGCTCACTTTGTAGCCCAGGCTGATCTTGAACTTGCAAAGATCCTCCTGCCTCAGCCTCCTGAGTGGTGGGATTACAGGCGTGCGCCATCACAGCTGGCAGACTCATCAAGTGTAAGAGCTAAGGGCACAGACAATGCTCTCCAATCCCACAGCCTCCCAACAGTGCACCCTCAGAGTACCAAGCCCACGACGTATCAAATTCAATATTTCTTACCTGACTGGTGAGTGGCCCCTGAGTGAGGGCAATGAGGCTCCCTCTGAGGCTCTATCAGTGTCCCCCTACTGTCACTAAATTGCTCAGGCTGGTCTTGAAAATGGGATCCTCCGGCCTCCGTCTCCAAGAGTGCTGGGATTACAGGCTGAATCCCACCCCCGGGTTCCGCCAGCTCTTTTCGTGCCTTGGGTATTGGAAGCTATGGGCTCACTGGTATCATTCTGATAGGGACACTCCACCCTAAGGCCAGG